CTATGAATTTGATGTAACTTGCCAAAAAAAAAAGCACAAAAGGGCCACCGGAAACAGGGGGTTGCCAAAAGGAGGCCGGAATAAAGGTGTAAAAAGAAGATGTATAAGACAATGAGAAGTTGAGTATGAAGAATTGTAAGGAAGGAAGGAATAGAAAAAAACAAAGATTAAGTAGTCATAGACGCGTTAGGAACGGGTTAATCGAGAAGAAAAAAGTGTAGTAGGTAGATGCGCGGATGCCCCAGACATAAACATAACTTTGTAGTTTCTTCTAGGAAAAAAAATGTGGATGACGACGATGACGTACTGGGGCTACTTTCAAAGCCGGTATCCGAGTTTCCGAAGCGTGAGACGATCAGCCCTGCACCTGAACGCGAGGTTCCTGAGGTTCCTGAGGAGCTTGAAGTGGAAGCTTTACGCCATACGCCGGAAGATAGGGCCATTGCGGAATTAGTAGACATGGGATTCCCCATACACAAGGCGCGAGAGGCCCTTGCCGAGACCTCGTCTGGTACAGATGTACAGCAGGCCGTCAGCTGGCTGCTCAACCAGGCTCACAGCGAGGCAAAGGAAAAGGCACAGAGCAGAAACCGTACCGGCCATTCAGACAGATCACCGGATCCTGGAATGTCTCGACGGCCAAGAAGGGAGGATGACGGCTATACTTCTTCCTCTCGAGATCGATCTTCGAACAATGGCACCCCAAAGGAAAAGGATCCCGCGCAGCTGGCTGCCGAATTTGGAAACACTCTCTTCAAATCCGCCAACTCCCTTTGGAAAACGGGTACCAAGCGGATGCAGCAGGCTGTACAAGAGTTCAACAACGGCCCTTCAGATTCTTCTTCATCGCAGCCTCGCTGGATGAGAGATAGCACGCCGGACCCTCCGAGAAGCAGGGAGCGGAAGGTGGATACCCGACGTGAACACCCCCGAGGATCAGCACAGACAGAAGCCATGACAAACGAAGCTATGATGCTGGAAACATCCAGAGAACCGCCCGCTGCCTCTTCACGTTCCCGAGGCGGAGAGCCCCAGGAGGCGCCCCACCAGCCTAGCTCGCGAGGCAGACCGGCGGAGCTTCCTTCACGACCACGTTTTCAGCAGGAAGACGATCTACGGAAACAGATCCAGCGTCCGTCCCATCATCCTCAGCCCGACGCCAGAAAACAGCGAACACCGCTATCACGTTTCGACGCGGACGAGCAGGCATCCCAGGCATACGTCAGCCCGGCCAGGAGGAGGAAAGCTGCCTCTTCGGTTCCTCCTGGTCGTGAGGCACCCGAACCAGACTTACTGCAGAGTCCGTCCCTTCCGAGTCGACCAACTCGTCCAGCTACAACATCTCCGGCAAGGCAAACTCGCACCCCCACCCCAGTCCGGCCAAAGGCACCCCCAAGAGCAGTTCCACAGATTTCCCATGCTTCACTAGCATCTATACACAGTCACCGACAGAAAGGAACGGAAGCTTATAAGCGAGGCGATTATGCTGTAGCACACTCTTCATACTCTAGCTCCATCTCCCTAATACCCAACGACCACCCCATCGTTATCATCTTGCTCACCAACCGTGCCTTGACCGGTCTAAAGACGGGCGAACCTAAGGGTGCTATAAGTGATGCGGATCGAGCTCTCTCTATCATTGGTCCCTCTAAGGGTGACTCCGAGACCATCGATCTCGGCAATGGGGAGCCACCCAAGGACATGAGAGAGTTCTTCGGTAAGGCCCTGATAAGGAAGGCTGAGGCGTTAGAACAGCTTGAAAAATGGAAAGATGCATTAGCTGTCTGGAGAGAAGCTATCGAATCCGGTCATGGCGGTAATACCAGCATCCAAGGGCGAAACAGATGCGAAAAGGCGGTCTCCATAGGACCCAACGGCGCCTCGTCGACGCCATCCAAGCCAATTTCGGCACCTTCTCGACCCAAGCCTACCTCTAGGCCTGCCGCTCCCAAGTCCGTCTCAACTAAGCCTGCCGAAGCAGTTAGTCGTCTACGGGCCGCAAATGAGGCCGCTGACCGAATAGATAACGAAAAGTTTGACCTTGCCGACGCCGTTGAAGCGAAACTTACTGCTTGGAAGGGAGGGAAGCAGGATAACCTTCGTGCACTCCTAGCAAGTCTAGACTCAGTGTTATGGCCCGAAGCAGGATGGAAGAAGATCAGTATGGCTGAATTGATTCTTCCTAATAAAGTGAAGATTCAATACATGAAGGGCATTGCCAAGGTGCATCCTGACAAGGTATGTTCCATCTACACCGATTGAAAAAAAAATGAAGCGCAAGACTGACCGGAGTTAGATTCCTGTAAACGCTACCACTGAACAGAAGATGATATCCGGTGCGGTATTTAGCACCCTGAACGAGGCATGGGATAAGTTTAAACGCGAGAACAACTTATGAAACGGCGAACGATACGACTTTTAGTGTTATGATCTTCTTTTTCTTAATATCCCGCTTGGATATTGTTTTTTCTTTTCATAGGTTTAGATACCATTTTGGTTTCATATATCTTTATTAGACCATCCATCGTTACAGTATGGACCGCCATCCCTAGCCCGCTAAGGGACTTAACGCGCGAAATTCACTCAGGCCCAGCACAGGCATTGACTGTGGCGTCGTCGTGTCCTCACCACGTGACGACGCCAACCATATAGCTACTAATACTGGCAACACGTACTAGTTAGAAAGGAATCAAGCATCATCTACACATTTATACTGACGTCACCGACGTGCGGGACCACGTCCGCAACAAGGGGTGTTAGCTTGGTATCCGTTGATAGTGGTTAAGATGTCTTCATTGTTGATGTCTTAATAACGGGTGATCTGTCGTCTGGCACCCTGTAGCTTTCTGGTCGAAGAAACTAGATTCCGCTCAACGAGGCTATAGAACCCTAGATCAAAAGATACTAGCTATAGTAAAGGCGTTCGAGCACTAGCGATATTACCTAGAAGGGGTAGGATAAATTATCTAGGTTCTCTCAGATTATACTACATTGACGTCGTTGGATGTGTTAATGTTGCTGATATCTTGTCTAACTAACTACTACGGAGGTGGTTACATGGTCGTCGTCGTCGTCGTCACGTGGACACGTGACTCGTGGCGCCATGTACGCCACATTCCCCGGGCTACTGAAGCTAACGTACACAGGAAAGGAGAAGAATAAGAGGAAATGAAGAAGAAAAAAATGGAGAAGGGCGTCGTCGTCGTCGTCACCAAACAATATGAAGAGAGAGAACGGTTGTTAGGTAGTTGTCATCACCGCCCAGCCGTCGTGCCCTCGTGCCCTTGTCGTCACATTATTGTTGTGCGTACGCTGTGCCGTCGTCGCTGTCGTCTCGTGTTGACACAAAAGTTTGAGTGGGTATCACGTCGTCGTCTATTTGTCTTCCTTTGTGCTATCTCTGGAGCAGTCGCTGCACTCCGCGGTATGCGAGAAATAAGCCTCTTTCATCCGTCAGGTTTAAGTACTCCTGCATGGTCGGGAGGATTCCCAAGTGTTGCGCCACCCTGACGTCCTTCGCTAACGTCTCGGGATGCGCTAAA